AGTGTGTTAACTGAGAGCCAACTTAGTAGCTGGAGATCTTTATGACCATCATGTAGCAGGAACACCTGACTGAAAATAAAAATTTATAAAATAATATTAAGTAATAATTGGTTCAGTAAGTCTACATCAGTCCAGTGTACTTAATTATGAAATGGAAAACTCTAAAATGAATACATTAAACATGTAAAGTGAAACTGGTATTTCTAAACACTACACTATCTACATCATTAGAAGAATAAAACCCAATGTAGGAAAGTTAAACTTTGCGATTCTGACACATTATATGTATTAGACAATGTCCAATAAAAATTCACTTTGTTAACCTCTAATTTACTTCATTACTCCATTTGATTAAATGTGAAAATTCTTCTATAATAAACCTATTACACTAAACTAACTATGGAAATAAATTTTTGAATGTTATTAATTTTACAAGAAATTCCTATCCCACTTCTAAAAGTAATATAATCTATAACCAAAATTATTGACTGAAGGAAAGATAAATCTAAGAAAATGACTTAAGAACATGACATACAAGATCCTAAAATAAAATAACCATAGGGTTCAGTGTTTCCCCCTGAATAAAAAATTGAAATTAATTACAGCCTTCTGAAATAACACAAGAAAGTAAAACATCTAACCTGGTCATTGGAGACAGTAAGAATTTCTTGATGTTGCCTGTTATGTTTAATAATGTAACCAATGTCTCAGTTTTCTGGTCAGTATTGAAAGTCTTAATCTTGACTTCATTTGATGCCACTGACTCTCTTTCAGCCCAGAGAATCACTTCACCAATCCAGTCTACTGCCAACCCAACACCTTGATCATTAAGCCGCAAAAGCTAAAAATGAAATAAAATACACTGATTATCAGAAATGATATTTTAATTTGATCTGCAACTATTAGGAATGCTTAATAAAGCACTTAATATATACTGTCAAGTTATTACAGTCTTACCTCATAATGCATTCTAATCAATACTATATACATATACGTACATATATCTGAAAGCCTTTCATCATATGACTAACATAAAAATTTGCAATGACTAAAAACAGAAATGGTAACTTTATACATCTAAGTAAAAAATAAATTAAGTTTTAATATTGTACCATATTCTACATACCCTCTCAGTAGAGTTTGTCTTCATGTCAGTTAAATATATATCTGAATTCATATCCATCCATGCAAAGGAGGAATTCTTTAGTAAAGGTGTTGCCCACTGTACTCTGGAATTCTCACTTAATACCTCCACCTCCTCTTGAAGGTCTGCATCAAGCTTAATAAGAGACTTGTCACTGACCACGAGGAGAGATGGAGTTGGCTTGTGCTGCTGGAGAGATTCTGTTACTCCAAAACTATAAGGCCCTTTTCCCATCTCATTGATTGCAGCAACCTAAAAGTATGATGTTCTATAAAGTTACACCCACAAAATTATAATGATGACACTAGAATAATGTTAAACTCAATTACTGTATCAAGCTGAATCTATTATATAACTCAAAAAATAATTCAAATCTAATCAGATGATTTATATTCAGTATAATGCTGTAGATGAATGCCTAGTATTTAGTTGACTGATTTTTTTTTATATAATTATTTTGCTTATGGGAGATTCTAAAGAAAAATTGCAAAGGTTAGTGGATGAGTTTGAGAATGTGTGTAAAGGTAGAAAGTTGAAAGTGAACATAGAAAAGAGTAAGGTGATGAGGGTATCAAATGATTTAGATAAAGAAAAATTGGATATCAAATTGGGGAGGAGGAGTATGGAAGAAGTGAATGTTTTCAGATACTTGGGAGTTGACGTGTCGGCGGATGGGTTTATGAAGGATGAGGTTAATCATAGAATTGATGAGGGAAAAAAGGTAGTGGTGCGTTGAGGTATATGTGGAGTCAAAAAACGTTATCTATGGAGGAAAGAAGGGAATGTATGAAAGTATAGTAGTACAACACTCTTATATGGATGTGAAGCTTGGGTGTAAATGCAGCAGCAAGAGACGGTTGGAGGCAGTGGAGATGTCCTGTCTAAGGGCAATGTGTGGTGTAAATATTATGCAGAAAATTCGGAGTGTGGAAATTAGGAGAAGGTGTGGAGTTAATAAAAGCATTAGTCAGAGGGCAGAAGAGGGGTTGTTGAGGTGGTTTGGTCATTTAGAGAGAATGGATCAAAGTAGAATGACATGGAAAGCATATAAATCTATAGGGGAAGGAAGGAGGGTAGGGGTCGTCCTCGAAAGGGTTGGAAAGAGGGGGTAAAGGAGGTTTTGTGGGCAAGGGCTTGGACGTCCAGCAAGCATGCATGAGCGTGTTAGATAGGATGAATGGAGACGAATGATACTTGGGACCTGACGATCTGTTGGAGTGTGAGCAGGGTAATATTTAGTGAAGGGATTCAGGGAAACCGGTTATTTTTCATATAGTCGGACTTGAGTCCTGGAAATGGAAGTACAATGCCTGCACTTTAAAGGAGGGTTTGGGATATTGGCAGTTTGGAGGGATATATTGTGTATCTTTATATGTATATGCTTCTAAACTGTTGTATTCTGAACACCTCTGCAAAAGCAGTGATAATGTGTGAGTGTGGTGAAAGTGTTGAATGATAAATGAAAGTATTTTCTTTTCGGGATTTTCTTTCTTTTTTGGGTCACCCTGCCTCGGTGGGAGACGACCTACTTGTTGAAAAAACAAAAAATTATTTAGAAGTTAATGCAGCAATTTTCTGTGCTTGCAGACAGTAAGTATTCATTTACTGCTTCACTGTGGACAGCAACTTCATAAATATATATGTATTATCTGAGTTCTTAAGGAACCAGTACAGATAATATAAACTCATTCATTCTCCTCTTACCTTGAACCTATATAAATGGTCAGAACTCAGATTTTCAATTGTTAACTGGAACACCTTGCCATTCACAATTTCACTTTTGCATTTCTCTTCAACTTCTGCAATGCAGTAAAGTATCTTATAATTAATTATTTCGCCATTTGGTTTTTTCTGGAGGAGACCAACGTAGGTAGATCTTCGCAACTGAATCCTGTCAAGCAGCATGAGACAACTTTATTATCCATAAAAAGTTCTACTTTTCAATCATCATACTGCTTCTAGTTATTAATATACAACTGACAATGCATGATCTTCATGTATTACTGTATATATATTTTACTCTCATTAACCCGTAAACGGTCCAAACGTATATATACGTTTTTTCAACAATTAATAGTATGTAAAAAAGTAATTTTTTTTTTTTTTACATTTGAAAATGTGTAAGAAAACTTTGATCTATTTTTTTTTTTATATTTGAAAAGATGTAAAAAAAAGCGTAGATCTACTTTTGGAGCACTACGCATGTGAACGTAGATCTGCTTGACCATTTACGGGTTAATGAAGTACAGTACATACCTGAACTTTATGTACAAATGTCCGCAGGTCTTGAGGCGCTTCGGGTAAGTGTGCTGGTGTATGAAGGTTTTTCAAAAGCTGGGTACCTGCACTCCAGTCTGTAATGCCTCTTACTGATACCTTGAGAGAAGAATACGGGGGCAGTACATCTTCGTAGGGAATGATAGTTTCATTCGTGAGAAATGCTTTTTTGTTGTTGCCATTGTCAATGATGACTTCATACATAAGGCTACCATAATTAACATTAGTGATGGGATTCCATTCGAGAGAAAAAATTGTCCAGGTTCCTTTCACTAGAAGTGAATTTGCATCAATCAGACCTGGAGTTACAACTGGTCTTTCAACACCATCTGAAAACAGTTGAAATACAACATCATCATCAATGAAGCTCAAGTAGAATGAAATCTATCAAAAACTGTACAACACAAGTAGTAGTAGTACATATGATATAAGAATATATACAGTACCACAATGTAATTAAAAAACTGCTATAAAGTACATAAAAAAGCCCGTATCTCAATTATTGTTCATATTGTAAACCTAACTCTTTTAAAAAATTACGAATCACAGAAAAATAACTGTCAGGCAATGTCATTTTAAAAATCCCTTGAAGGTTCAGGCCTTGAAAAGATTACCTGGAACAGGCTGTAGGTCTGGAAGTACCACGAAAGAAATGGGAAACTCCTAAATTCGAAGTGTGAATAGCGGCAGAGTTGTTGAGGTTGGTATCCGAGACAACTACATCTCCGTCTTCTCCGAGCCACAGCAGACGCTCACTCAGATACCACATTGGACCTGTGAAAACACACAAATGAGTTACAGGTACAGTATTAAGAAATAACCATAACTATTCTTAGATGTAATTTAACTTTTGCAACTACAGTACGTATATAATTTCAGAGAAAGAAAAGAGTAAAGTGATTACCCATAAGGATGAAAGACAGTTGATTTACAAGGTTAAAGCTAGTCTTCTTTCCTGAGATGAAGTTTTTAGATGCACAGACTTTAGAAGTTTGTTCCTTAACTTTATATCAGTTTCTCAAAAGCTACTCATATTGTGCTGATGAATGCTCAACAACTTACTACTTCCAAATTACGATGTCTGTTTTTCATTGTTTAAAATAGTTCTAGATTGTAATACAGTACATCATAATGTAAATTGTTCCATTGTAATACCAAATTTCATTGTTTTAAATAGTACTAAACTGTAATATATCATATTGTAAATTGTTTTAAATTGTTACACTGTAATACTATAATCTTTATTAACTAATTCAATAGTGCAATAAGTCTCTACTAGACTTATCAAAACAATGAAGCATTACCTGACTGAATATTCAGTTCTCCTGAACTCACTGTAACTCATCTAATGACCATATGAACTGTATATTATTGCCTTCCTAATCATAAGTTAATCTTTAAGCTTGTCCAAAATGCTCTACATACAAAGGGGCTTTTGGTATGTACAACCAACTATTATATTCCTCTGTACAACCATGTAAATTGTCAAAATAAACATCTTAATCTTAATCTCTTAATAGAAAGAATGCTGGTATCGAAGACCATTAGATATATAATTACAATACTATACCACTGCAACACAGATTTAGTATATCTCAAGTTCATTGATTCCACTGTATGAAAATCATTTTCAATGTCACCTTATTTGCAAAGACCCTTGAATTTTTAAAAATTAATATCTCTACACATTTTTTTTCTAACACTGTATATTTTTTCAAGACTTGTTCAAAAGAACTTTTATTCATTTTTATGTATTTTACTAATTAGTAGACATGAACTGTGATACTTTTACTTATCTGATACTCAAACTAAAAAAAAAAAAAAAAAAGATTTTTTTTAACACACTGGCTGTCTCCCACCGAGCCAGGGTGGGAGAGGATGCCAGAGGCATGCAGATACAACAGTTTAGATGCCACTCTAAACAGAAAATATCTCAAATCCCTCCTTTAGAGAGGAGTCACTGTACTTTCCACCTCCAGGACTCAAAATAACATTCAAATAAAATAGGTTATACTAGCAAAGGATTTCTCTTATTATCTGTCATACAAGACATGTTACGCGTGAGGTTGTGAAAATGCAAAATCAAGTGGTATAGTAGTAACCTCGAGTTTCGAACAACTCCCAACTCGAACAATTATGTAAGTGTATTTTTATAAGTGCTTCTCTAAGTGTATTTTTGGGGTCTGAAACAGACTAATCTAATTTTACATTATTCCATATGGGAACAAATTTGTTCGGTAACGGCACTCAAATAGCCTTCTGGAATGAATTAAGTTCATAACTCAAGGTACCACTGTACAGTGGATCCCCGACATTCAATGGCATTAAACACTCGACAAATCCGACATTCGATGCATTTTAACGCAAAAATTTCGCCTCGACACTCAATGGAAAACCCAACATTCGATACAATTCGTACGAGCAGTCTCGGCTGAGTGGTTGAGGGAGTAGACGTGTGCTGGGGATCTGGACCTACTAATTCACAGGCCTACCCATTTCTCCCCGACTGATAAGTCATCATTAAAACTCCTACTGTTGGAAGACAGCTTCAGTGTTGTGAGAACTCTTATGTGCGAGCTGTGACTAAGGATATACCGGGTCAAACACTGGAAATAGTTTTCCTTTTTGCAAAGGCCCTCACAGGCCTCTGCTTCCCCTCTGCCTTTCATTTGACCTCAGCCTTTTGCCTCTATCAACATGGATGTAAGGGCGAATTTTGCTAGTCCACTGCTATTTCGTGCCTCTCAAAATGCTCACAACTCATCGCTTTACCAACTTGGGGAATAACGACGAGTGTGCAGTCCTACGTGAGTTGGTACCCAGGTGTCCACACACTGAAAATTCGTCTTTCACTCCAAGACACGTGTGCTAGAAGTTCTGCAAGTTTGGAGTAACAATCTCTACGAGTATTGCAGTGTGTGGTAACTCTTGAGAAGTCCTGCCTCAGCCTGTGACCTTGAGCGAGGCACTGCATCACCTGCCTGAGACTTTCGCCCATATTGACTATGTGAAGAGAGGCGAATGTGCGTGCTCAGTTGCCCCTCTGTTCTCCTGTGTCCCCAGCTCTCCTCCTTTAAACTCAGCCGTTCGCCTCTATCAACGATGTGCAGTGTAGAGGTGTATTTTGCTGCCCCGCTGGTACTCGAATATGTGAGTTCCGCAAGTGCTGCAGATTTGTTGTAACTATTTGCATGAGTGGATTACGCTGACTTAGGACATTGTGCTACCATCAGTACCTACGTAGGCTTAAAATGAGTGAGGAATGTCTGGCCTGCTGGGTGACCTTGAAAATGGCACTATAAGACCCGCATGCCACTTACACCCATACTGCGTGTGTCTAGTGAGGTGAATGTCCCTTCCTCGACTTTCCTATTCACCGGTATCCCTTAACTCGTCGCCATTATCTACATATGGGATAAGGGTGAGTTTAGCTGATCCAGGCCAAACAGCGCTCCAAGCCAGCCAGTAAAGGGCCAAGGCTACATCTGTTCTGAATCCCAGAATGCCTTTGTGAACGTTCTACAGTGTTCCGGCCGTACCATTAACAAGTAGTACAGGGTTGGTAACTCTCGAGACGACTGTGGCCCATGAATGACCTTGAAAATTGCACTGCGACCTGCAGGCCACTACACCCATATTGCCTGTGTCCTAGCGAGGTTAATACCCTTTTTCCTTGTCCCTTCTCCTTCCTCGATTTGGAACTCAGCCGTTCGCCTCTATTTGCTTGTGGTCTAGAGGCGGTTTTAGCCAGACCACATGGGTGCTTGAGTGCCCGTGTCCTCGTGCCGCACTCCGCTCATCTTGCGAGTGTCCCCTGTGTGCCTGCCTGCCTGCTGCAAGCAGGTGTCCGGGTGTTGGCACGGGCTTGGCGAGCACAGTCAAGCAAGCTTGAGGGTGGCACTAGAAGCTAGCCAGAACGGGCTAAGGCAGCCTGCAGTTATCTGTCCTAGGGCCCAGCATGTCTGTATACGTTCTGCAGTGCTGCTGGCATACCAGTGTTTTCCTGTAGTGGGTTGAAACAATTTGACGAGCATTGCAGTGCTGACATTTTGAGTGGGACATGCCAGAGGTTCACTTATAAACATATTAAGCTTGTGGTGAGTGGCTTGTACACAGTGAACATTCATCTGTCATAAAGTGTGCTAGAAGTGTTAAGTGCTGCTTTCCCCAACAGTTAATTGTCATTTGTAAGCCTGTATTAAGACTTTAAAAGGCTCAGAGTGTACTTCAGTGTAGTGACTCCTTGCATTTGATATATCAGTGTAATACATGCTCTGCTCAGTGTAACTGAACTATTAAATACGGTTACATAATTAAGTTGCTTGTCCTAGTGTCATTGTTGTGTTTTCTAATACATTTTCTCGTTCAGACTGAAACTTTACTGCTAAATTCCCAGTAATATTTCAAATTGCAGTGTTGATCTGTGGTGTGAGTGTGTAACTTATGCTTTGTATTTTTACTGTGAACAAGCTTGCTCCTGCATAATGTTCAGCTTCATGAATACTTTCTCTCTTGAGTAATTCGGTTTTCCTTCAACTGTGTTAAGCAAGAGTCAGCCTGTTAACATCTATGTTCCTTGCCCTCTCATCTAGTGGGGCTGAAAGCCTAGTTGAAATTGTAATAGTAACAATTTTGCAATCATTATACTTCTAGTTATACATTGTGTAAATTGTTTTAGACTATTTGATCAACTGATTTAGTGTTTAACTTCTGATACACCAGTTTAATGACTGCAGACACGCACTGACACATAATAAACACATTAAAACGCTGGTAACTCCAAAGCTGGGCCTAGTGTGTGACCTTGAGAAGTTCAGTGTTTTATTACGACCACGGTGTACCACTCTCACCTATATTTACATCAACAAAAGTGTATTCTAAGTGATAAAGTATACACTTGGTGTACTTGGTAACACTTGTCATACATAGTAACGCGTGTGTAAGTGAGATTGTTTAGGTACTGGTTCATCTATCTACAGCTGCACACTTATGCTTGCATACATGTATAACATAGTAACGTGTGAGTTACCCAGGATGGACCAAGGAAGTCGACCAGAGTAATTTATCTCATTGTCATTGTAACATTACCTAGTTTTTTTTTTTTTTTTTTTTTTTTTTTTTTTAAATAATACTGTTTACAATCTATGGTTGGGGTAAGAGGTTGTCTTCACCATTCATTGTGATGTCTGCTATATTATTATTTCAGTGAGGTACATTAGGTGGCAGTAGCCTGAACTAACTCAAGTGGAAGTTATCATTGAATTTGAACCTCATGTTTAATGTGATGTATGTCAGAATTCTAATTTTATGCTCAATATTACCTACTTTGTCTCTCTCTCTCTCTCTCTCTCTCTCTCTCTTTTCATCTTTGTAATTTGTGATAAGGTGTAAGACCTCGCCTGTACCATCCATTAGATTTTAGATTTAGATTTTGCCACCGAAGTGGCTAGTTTATTGTGCACCCCATATCCATCCTGTGGACGGTAGCGCGAGAGCATGTGGATACACAAAAGGCCTAGGAACTAGGCCCCAAAGGGTTAACAGGAATACATATGGATTTATATCTACATATCTATAGTTCACTTATCTGTTACAAGCAAATTTTGGAAATTTGCTTAGTAAATCTGGTATCTTATTTTCA